ATAAAATTTTCTCTTCAAAGATGCCCAGAAGGCCATGTAGAGAAATGCTTTACAAAAAATGCCTAGAGAATAAAATCCTCACTGAGGCAATTTTCTTGAGCCCTTGCCAAACTGTTTTCATCTACTTCCATCTAACACAAGGACTCCTGCCTCCCCCTAGGCTCAGAACGCTTCCAGGGCTTCCCAATGTTTAATTTTACAATTCTCTTCTCCACAGCACTGTGGCGTTTTTTTCTAGCAACACAGGCAAGATTAAAAAGGAAGCACACATAGAATATTCTTGATTGGTAGGTAAAAAGAAGCTGTACATTGAAAGCAATGTATTTTAAACATTTCCTCATGTTCACCTATAATGCACTTTCAGTCCACCCAAATTGCTTGTGTGAATGTCTGGTTTTATTATGCCTTTAGATATGGATATCAAAATCTGACAGATAAGTACTTGGCTGAAAGCAGTTCATACATTCCTAGAAAGAGTGAAGCTCCTTAGATTGACAATCTTATAATTAAATTTCCCTAAGTATTATAAATTATCAGCTACCTCTTTACTCAATTCTATTGTCTGCTTAAATCAAAGCTAACAAGTATCCTTAATGGTATAAAAATTTTACAACCTCAGCCAACTATTCCCACAGTTCTTTCTGTATGCAAGACTTTTTTAAAATTCGCATGAAAAGAGTATGTTTGATAAAACACCAAATATGATAATTAAGATTAGCTCTAATTTCAAATGAGAGGTATATGCACTTTTTCATTGTTCATACTTATGTAGAGTCTTGTAGTAGGTCAAAGCAGAGAGAGTATTCTTGAAATATTATGACACCTAATTCTTCTTTAGATGCTGGCCTCAATGGGTTTGTATTCAAAGGCATACAGGCTCTACTTTTAATACTCTCAAATTTACAAAACAGGGCAGTATTTCTATCCAATCACAATGCAAAAGATAGATTGGTGTTGATCCATTCAAATGATTGACTGAAATATGCACTCCATGGTAGACTTCAGTCCAAGACAAATATATCACTCCTATCACAAGGACTGACCCTATTTGTAAATAGCAAACAGTTTTCAACCACAACAATTTTTAATTCCTAGACTCAATGATTAAAAACATTATATTCAGGCAGACTTTTCAAAGAATAAATTACTTTGGGAACAGGCTACACTAATATTTGGTCTAAATCCTATGAGGAAGATAAGGTAATCAGTTTATTATGCAGCCTCCTGAAGAGCTTCACAACAAGTTGAAAAGTTGCATTCCCTCCCTACCTGGCTTTTAAAGTTCTCCTTCATTTGAAGAAATTCACTGTGCATACCCTAGTCTCATACTTTAAAATAGTCCAAGGCTGCCTAGGTGGCCAAAAATAAATAGAAAGCCAGCTGATGTGTCCCATCAGTGTAGGTAAGCACCTGACTGATGTAAATCTGTGTGGCTTTATTATGTGTCTCTTTCAGCCTGGACTAGAAAGGAATGTAGAAGTGGGCATTGCATATGTGGGTGTGAGCAACAGCTGCCAAAAGAGCCCACAGAACATTCCTGCTCTCAAAATAGCTTAGAGGAGAACTGAGACTGCTCTAGATCATTTTTCAGATCTGGAATGAGGTGTACCATCTTACCAACAGAGCAAAGACAAAACTAATTCGTTTGTGGATTTGTGTTACACTGAAGAGCCACATTCCACATTTTATTAATTTACACAACAGTACTAACTCATATTGCCTTGCATGGTTGTATAACGGGACAAAATTTGACCACCTCTGTCTTTTATTCTATTTACTTATTCTTTGCAATTTTTTTCATATGGGTAGACTTCTGGTATACATTTGCTAATCCAAACAATACAAAAATTGCAGTACAGTATAGTATTTCCATCTTTTTCTGTGACTATGCAAATAATAAAGAGTCCCAATTCTTTTATTAATATACCAATGATACCATTCTGTGCCATAAAAAGAAAGGATTATCAAAATACAGTTTACAGGTCTAAAGTTGGGTTTTTTTGGGTTTTTTTGGGGTTGTTTTTTTTTTTTTTTTTGCTTAACATATCATTTGTTTTGCAATCTATCTTTCTTCCTTTTAAGGTTAAGGTTTACAGAACCTTAATCTTTTTGAGCTGGTTTTCTTTTTGTTCTGTTTGGTGCCAAAATGAACATAAAAGATTCCATATGAGATTACATTGCTAAAACCAAAAGGAAAATATTAGGAACAAATATAATATTTTGAGGTTTCTTGGTTTGTTTTACCTCTAATACTGGGAAGACTGTTTACACAAATCATTTTGCAGTAAAGTAACACATAATGAGTTAAATGTGTGCAATGTCATGATCAATCATATTCATTTGTGTTTGACTGACCAAACACTTATGGCACATTAAATCACTTTCTAATCAAGTTATGAAGGAGGAGGAACAAACACACATTTCAAGCTTTCTTCAAAAAATACAGAAGTTTCAGTACATTTTCCTGGCAATCTCCTAACTTGTGGGAGACTCCACTAATAATGCTTGCCCAAGGAATTTTGAAGGTCTGACAGTACTTAAATTCAGTGCTCTAAATGAAAAGGGGTGGAATTTCTTTTAGGGAATGGACGTCTTTCTTTTCAATAGAGTCCTCTCTAACAATTCCAATCAATGCAGCTGCCTTCCTAGAATATACTGTTGATTCGCAGCCACCACCATAGTCTTCTCTTTCAAATAAAGTTTTAAGAGTGAGACAGCTTGGAGAAAGAATGTCCTTTCAGCTAAATAAAGAAACAAATCTTTTGCTGTCACCAACTGAGTTGGATTCTCATGTCTCAGTTCTTGTACGTTTAATTTGCTTTAGATTTTAATACACTCAGAGATCTTTGGAAATGATGATATGCATTTTACTTGCCTGGACAATTCATTCTTAGTTAAGTAGCAGGCATCCTTTTAACCAGTACTAACTGTCTTGCATTCTCCCAATGCACTATTTGAGGGCATTTTTTCCCTCAGTGCCATCTGAACATGACATCTGAAGTAACACAAGTTAAGGTACATCCGCATCCTATTCTGTTTCTAACTGTATATAATCACAGATACAAGAGCAAAACTGACACTGATAGCTTCCTCCAAATCAAAATCATTGCTATTTTTATGCTCATTCTGTGTATATAGAAATACTCAGATGTAATTAGTAGTGCCTTGCAAAGCTGAGCCTTCATCTTAAAACTGTTCATCAGTGAGATAGTTCAATCTGTCACTACTGAAATTAGTATAAGAATATCTTATAAAATAATAAAATATAGGATTAAAGTTGGTTAAGATAATGGCATAAGTGGTTAGATATATTTTCTGGAAAGATGATACCTTTCAATTTGCAGTTTTTTGACTTGTCTAAGCATTTTAACTACAAATCCAGGCCATGAATGTGTGTGTCTCTAGTACAGTTCCCACATAGTCAGATATTTGTACACTTTACCACTTTCTCAATCTCTCAATTTTCTCAGTGCAAGTTTAAATTCAATATTAAAATAACTTGCATTAAGACTGAATATACCCACATATTTGGATGTCCTTGAGAGAAAATTGATCCCTTCTGATTTTGGAAAGACAAAAGCTGAGCAAAAGTTTCAGGCCTACTTCTGATTTCAAGAGCAAGTTCATAGAACAGGTTGCCTCAGTAATTTGGATACATTAGTGTGACTTACAAATGTTTGAGACTCCTCAGAGTCGTGGGTTACCACACCAGACAAGAGTGAGGCAGCCCAAAATGACTGGCAAGAATAATGAAGTTCATAAGAGATACAGTTTTCTTTTGGAATATAAGTAGAAAGGATTAATATCAAAGTGACCATATGCTGACGAGTCATATACAGCTCCCAGGTTTGGCTTTACTGAAGTAAACCAGCTTTTTTTTTTTCATAACATGAACAAAGATGCAAACATCATAACTGCAGACAGTAAACTCCAGAGGCCAGGCTTGTTTCCATATTGAAAACTGGCATTCTTTTTGACTATATGTAATAGTCCGGAATATTTTTGACACACAGGAGTCTGCTGCCTCCAATTCTTTTGAGGTCTCCAAAGGATACCTTAACAAGAATTTCAGGACTTCATAAGAAGTAAATAAAGACTCACTGCTCCGCACTGATATGTGCACCTCCATGAGAACAGTCTTGGCTTTCTCACCTAAGGACTCTAGGCTTTCTTTTTTTCTTTTTTTTTTTTTGCTTACTTGCACAATGGCCTTGAAGTGGAATGTGGCCTACCTTGTACTTCAGTGTTTCCCGTCCCATTAATAACACTCCTGGGATTGGAAACTGACCAAACTTTATGTTTGGAATCAGTGTCAGAAAGGCACGAGGAAGGAAGCACTGATTGCTGCAATCAAGGTCTTGGTCTAGTGAACTAGTACAACTGCCACAGAAGTCTAAGAATAACTGGGTTAACATTTTGCCATGTACGTCCAAAAGAGCTCTTTGACGGAGGAGAAACAAATACATGAATGATGTAGGAAGTTCAGGCTTCAGTTCCAACACATGTTCCTTATTTACTCTCACAGTCAGAGGTCCACTAGCCACTTGATGTAAAAGACCAAAATAATCAGTCCTTTTTTCCAAGCACTTTGTTGCCATATGGGACTATACGTTGCTATGCAACTATATGTTGCTATATGCTGTAAATCATATTTTTGTGTTAGCAGCAGGGGCTTTTCTCATAGATAAACATGTGTTTTGTCTAAAACAAAGGAAAACACAAAACACCAGAAATATCTCTCAAGAAATGGATGATGCTTTGAACAATCATTTAAAGTCCAAAGGCTTGCTGAATAGAAATAAAAACATAACTTGACAGAACCTGGCTCATTGTGCAATTTGCAGCAGAGAACTTTTGTATGTAAGTGCGTGCTGGGTTTTTTTGCTTTACAAAATCTATAAATGTGTTCCTATCTGTTTCATATTTGAGCCATGTTCTCTACTCAGTTCTCTGACAAACTGAATTGTGGACTAATACATTCTAATGAGACAAGACATTACCTTTATGAATGACCTCATAGAGAAGAGGTTGGCTAACATTGTTGAAAGGCCTGGTGCCAGGCAGCTCTGGGCTATGAAACCCAGCTTGAGCTCAGCAAGACAGATTGCATCATCCCCTTCTTTCCAGTTCCAGCTTGGGATATTTAGCAGATGAGCCTAGAAAACAAACAAACAAACAAAAAACCCACTGGTGAAGAACCAGAAATACTTCCTCAGATACAGTACAGTATTGAAGAAGACAGCAGTGAATTATTTTCTTTGTTACTGGCTTGACTTCTTCTGAGAAGGCAGAAGCACTCCAAGTATTTTAGAGTTGCTAAGTCTTACCTATTAGAGAGGAAATCTTACATTTCTCAAGCCATATTCTGGCTGGGGCACTCTGCCAGGCCCATCCTCACACCTGAACGAACCACAGAATGTTCTAAAGTTTTCCTTCCCTTCTCTCTATTCCTTTTACAGCACTTTGAGCTACTCTCTGACTGATAAGGCACATACGTAATATAAAGGAATTTAATATAACTTAGCTTATAACTTGTGTGAAGCTGCAACCTTTATAGGATATTATCATTTAATGAGGTATACAACATCTTCTGTCTTTTCTACTTCATTCCTTCCACCCTGAAGGATAGCACTTAGTGAAAACACAACCTTTTTCCCCAAGACTGCTAATAATAAGGATAGAATAAAGAAAATAGCTGATCAAGACAGACCTCCAGTATTGACACTGGCCAGTTACATAGGTATTAATATTGTTCAGTTATTGGCATAACTATCGGATTCTCTCTTCGATCTGCCTTATAGAAATGCATAGACATTAGGAAACACAGAGGCCTTCATGCTTGTTTCCCTTCAGAAGTTAATATTACAGTTCAGTGTTTTGATAAAAGCTATTCTTGAAGACATGTTAGCTGGAAATACGAAGGAAAAATGCAGTATTTAAAAGATCTTCCCCACTGAACCTGTTTAAAGCAGAGAAACACCTTGCTTTTATTCTATAAAAAGACAGGCTCCTTCCATTCATGTACAGGAAGAGGACATCACAAGGAACAGTAATTGCTCTTGTTCTAGCCAAAGTGTACAGGTATAAGGGGTTGTTAGCAGTCTTCCAAGTACCAGGATTACTGTATTTCATTGAATGAAGGTCTACCCAGCCAAGCTTTTCTCCAACACTGAGCAGTGGTTAATGCTTTCACAAATAATAAAAGAAGCAGGTCACGTATGAGTAGTTTGTCCTCTGGTATCTTCTTCCTAGCCCTGTTAATCAGCAGTTTATGGACTTCCTCATCTCAGGATTGAATGAATGGACTTCATTGCATTTAAAGGCCACAGATTTACCATCAAAAATTTGCCAAATTCCTTTCCAAAGTAGACTTATAATTTTGATCTCCACAATATTTTTAGGAATAAATTCCACAACTGAATTATGTTTTATATGAAAAAACATTTATTTTGTACCTCCTACTTGGCAATATCAGGACTACATTGTCATGCAAGAAACACAAACTCACAATAAACCTCCAATAAGACAATAATTATATGCAATTTTTTTTTTAAGTATGCACAAAGAACTGGCTTCAGATGACTTGCCTAGAGGCCACTAATTAATCTTGGGTAGCTCTGGTGTAATAAGATGAGCAAAACTTATAGAAGCTGACTGGTTAAAAGCTCATCTGGAATCAATAGCAACTATGGACACTGTGGCTTTGAGAATTAGACCCTAGGCAATTAATAAATGGCAGGGGATTTTGATAAGGTCCCTTGCATATATAAATAAAACAGAATTACCTTGTAACTGGATTACATGACAAGGCTAATAAGGACATTTTTGTTTGGAAAGAAAAATATTTACTATTAGTGGAGACAGAAAAATTGTGTATGAGTGAATGCAAGATAGCAAAAAACTCTGGGGCGAGACACTGTTGGTTGCTATGTTACCTTATTGTGATACTGCAACATCTGAGTGATAATTCTTATCTTCGGATGATAATTCTTTATTGAAATAACTCTAAAAAATAAAAGAAACAACAGAATTATTTTTAGCTGGCAAAATATTTGGATAATGTATCCCAATACCTTTACTTTATTGTGTTGTCAAGTCCCACAATTAAAACTGTACCCTCTTATTCATCTGGCTGTAAAGCATACTGATTGAAGTCAGACCTATACAACATTTACATCTAGGCAAATTCAGTTAATAACCATCAGCTAATACTAGAGAACACCAAGCTTCAGGAATTATTCAGTTTAATGGCTTACTCTTATGGAATTTGCAGAAAAAGAGACTTGTTTTAGCAGCTCTGTTCAGATACTGTACTCATTCTGCTAAGCAAATAATACACTTGCAATTACTATGTCATCTTCAGTGATTATCTTCGTCTTTGAATCAACATAATTGATCAAGTTCTCCAATTATAAATGTCTGAAAAGAATCCTTTTCTTTCTGCCCCACCACATATTATTTATTTATCATTGCTAGACATTCATCACATTTAAACACCTTGAATAATGATTTTGTTTGATATAAATCCACTTGCAAATTCATCTTAATTTTTACAGATTATCCCAAAGCTCAAAATTGAAACTGATATTTGAACTCTAAATTTATAAAATATGAGCTACTTCCATAATCTGGAACTTGACTGCATTCTTAATTATTTAATGAGCCTAAGATATACTCAACTCTGTACAGATTAAAAGTGGCTCGAAAGAAAAATCTTTGAGAAATGAGTGGATTGATAACATGTTATGAAGAGAGGAAGATACAATTTAAAAATTAAAAAAGCATTGAGCAAAATTAAACAGGCTAAAAAAATCAGTTCTGTATATGCAAACTAAAGGTAGAAAAAGAACATAAAACAAGCAAAATGAAAAATAATCTGAATTATTATGGAATCACCAGTCTCATAAGACTCCGAAAGCCATAACTGTTTATGTTGGTGTTTTGTAGGAAGTATCTTGCAAATTGCTGGTCTGGCTTGTGCTTTGAAGCATATCAAAGCTAGAGCATGAAACAGATAAAAAAGTTGTATGCACGATTTTAATTTATGTTATCTTTTGGAGGGAGAAAACAAGTCTTCCTTCTTATTTTCCATTTCTTACTGAATTATTTAATTAAACATTCAATTTTGTTGAATTAAATTCATTTAAATGTGAGAAAACACAAGAGAATTCCATTCTCAAAATAACACTTTTGCATTTTATTACATTAAATATATTAAATCTGTTAAGAATGTACTAATCTGCAACTGGAATATAATGTATTTATGCAATTAATGTCAAAATAAAGTTTCTTGCATCGAAACTCAAAAGCATGTTTGGAAAATGAAATTAGGCATACTTAAGCTCTGCACCATCCACAGATAGACAGATCTCTTGCACCCAGTGAACTTCTTCCAGAAGAGTAATTTTATTATTTTTTTTTATTTCTCCCCTTCCTTCAATTCACAGCATGTAAACATCTGACAGGCCAGTAAAATTGGTTCATAACACTGGCCAATTCTATGTTAGAGAATTTTTAACAAATCATTGATGTTTTAATTTTAAAAAGAAGAGACTGGCCTCATTAAATCTAGGGCCGTATGAACAAAACACAAAAAATGGAATGGCTTAGCTTTGTTGTAACTCTAGCTGCCATCTACTCACTTACTCTTTCATCTTCTTCCTTCAGAGAATATAAAGAAGAAAGCAGGATAAGATCTGGTGATCCCTAATGTGGTAAGTGACTTGTCAATCAAAATAACCAATGTTTGGTCTTCAGTGTAAAAAAGGAGGATGGAGCTAGGAGACCACTGTATCGTTACCACCATGAAGTGTATACCTTGCTTTTCCCCAAGCAGCGTGATTACTTGTAGAAGCAGATATACCAAGGGGCAATGAGGTGTGAAGTGATTAAGGGCCCTTCTGTCCATTCGTTAACACCAGCCCATGCAGTACATGCACTCATGTAACATGCTGTTGCAACAGCATAACTGCATTCCTTTTCCTCTCATTTCCACTGGGACTGCATTCAGCTATGAATACTTAAACCCTAGGTACTGCAAAGTGATTAAAAGTACCAAAGCTTGTGCTCC